TGCTTTAACTTCCTGAAATCAAGTAAGACGGATAGTATTAACACCCCATATGACATAAGGGTACAGATTTGGAGGCCTGCCTATGATCACACAGAAAATAAGCTGTAGTTACAAAATTTAGACAAGTCTGACTCCTTCCACTACATCACATCAGTAAATGACACTTGGGGGAATGTCCTCTATAAAAGATTATCACTCTAAATGTTGAGACAGTAAAGTATTAATCTGTAGGGGCCTTTCTAGTTTCACTGTTATATTTACACAAAATAGACAATTATTAAACTGATAAATCTAAAGTGGGGGAGGAGTTAATTAAATCATCAGTTCTTGGCCTGGATTCTCTTCTCTGCAGCAACCCATTAGGCTATTGGTTTCCTCAATATTTTAAATTCTCCCTTAATAAATCAATCAAAATTTAAGGAGAAAAAATCATACCACCTCATGTTTGCTGTCACTGAAAACTGACTTCTAGTCACAGCTCAATTAAAAATCTTGCATGTCCTAGCTCAACTCCTATTCCACAGAGGCTATTCCAAATCTTCACCACACTTTGGCAACCCCAATCTCTTCTCTCATCAGTTGGCATTATCCCTATCCTCTTAGAGACTTAGGGGTTTTCTTTTTTTGGGGGGAGGGGGTGGGGGCTATCTTTTTCCTGCAGTAGAGACCATAATCTTTGAACACTCTCATCTTTTCACCACCCAACTTATAAATATCTATATCCATTCTCTTTTTTTGTTTCTCAGTGCCTAGAAATACAGTTAGCCCTTAACTGATACTTGTTAAATGTGGCAAATGAATTCAAGAACAACTCTTTTGCCCTGCTCCATCCCATCCCTTCCTACATTTTCAGGGATCTGTATCAGCTACCTTCTCTCTCTCTTCGTCGCCTACATCTTCAAATATCACCTCTGTGGCTCTTTCCCTTATAGCCTGTTATCAATCTTCCACCCCCCTCGAAAAAAAACTCAACTCTACAAACTTTAGTTATTGTTCCATCTCTTTCTTCTCTTTATAGTCAAACTCCTTTAAAAAAAAAAAATGTACAACTGGAAATTTCCTTTTTTGAGACAGGAATGGTCTTGCTCTGTCACCCAGGCTGGAATGCACGGGAATACTGCGGCCTTGAAATCCTGAACTCAAGCCATTAACTCACCTCATGGAAATTTTATATCAAGGAGGTACTGTGAAGTAGGAGAATGAAATTAAAGTTAATTTTTTTTTTTTTTTGAGACGGAGTCTCACTCTGTGGCCAGGCTGAAGTGCAGTAGCGCAATCTCGGCTCACTGCAACCTCTGCCACTTGGGTTCAAACAATTCTCCTGCCTCAGCCTCCCAAGTAGCTGGGATTACAGGCGTGCACCACCATGCGAGGCTAATTTTTTGTATTTTAGTACAGATAGGGTTTCACTATGTTGGCCAGGATGGTCTTGATCTCCTGATCTCATGATCCACCACCTAAGCCTCCCAAAGTGCTGGGATTACAGTCATGAGCCATTGCGTCCAACCTAAAGTTAATTTTTGAAAGAATTCCTACCTTTTAAAAATACATATTGAAATACCTAGAGATGAAAAGCTGTATCTGAGTTTAGCTTCAAAACAACCCACTGGAGAAGTAGGAATTACAGATGAAACAAAATTAGTTATGTGTGCATTCTTCAAGGTAAGTGATAGTTACACTGGAGTTCATTTTATTTTTTCTTCTTTTGTGTATGTATTATGGGAAATTTTCAGTATTTTTAAAGGTAGCATGTGCTCACTGATTCCTCTTCATTTCTACAAAGTTCTAAAATGATTTCTAGCCACAAAATACATCAAGCACTTCTCAGGCTACCTTACACACCCTCTCCAAGGCACCGGATACTCTGGACCACCCCATGCGTCTTACTCTCTCCTCCTTTGTTTGTTATGCTCTCTCCCAGTTCTTCTTTCTCTCTGCCTCCTAACCACCGTCTCATTTGTAGGCTCCTCCCCCAAACACATAAACACATCTCTTTTTCTTTTTTTTCTCTTGAGACAGAGTCCCGTTCTGTCACCAGGCTGGAGTGCAGTGGCGCCATTTTGGCTCACTGCAACCTCCACCTCCAGGGTTCAGGTGAATAGCTAGGACTACAGGTGTGTGCCATCATGCCCAGCTAATTTTTGTATTTTTAGTAGAGACAGGGTTTTACCATGCTGGCCAGGATGGTCTCGATCTCTTGACCTCGTGATCCACCCGCCTTCCAAAGTGCTGGGATTACAGGCGTGAGCCATTCCACCCAGCCTACACACATCTCTTAAATAAGAGTTCCATATCCAAAGCTCTTCCTTTTTCCTTTCTACTCACTCTAGCGTGAGCTGGTCCATTCTCCCAGCTTTAACTACTTATCTATATGCAAACTTCTAACTCCAGCCTGCTCTCTCTGAACTCCAGACTCAAATGCATCCCCACCTGAATATCCCACAGGAACCTCAAACAAATCCTCAAAACTGAACTAATACCTTTATTTTTCATCCCCACAAAAACCAGTTCCTTTTCATCTCAATCAATGGGTTCACTATTACCTCAGTCGTGCTAGCCAGAAACTGAGGAATCAATCATCTTAAAGAGTTCCAAATCTCTCTAACTCCCAACCCACAACACTTATCAAGTCATATCAATTTTATCACTTAAACATTCCGTGAATCCATGTCTCTCTGTGACTCCAACTGCTTAATTCAGACTCTCTTCATTTCTCTACTGGACTTTTTTTTTTGTCTATTATACAACTGGCTTTTCTACTACCACTCTAATCTTTCACCTCCCAGGTCCATTCTCTACACTGGAGCTGGAGTTATCTTTCTAAAACACAAACCTGATGACACCACCACACTAGCTAAAATTCTTCAATGACTGCCCCATGTCAAGATGAATTTTAAACTCTGAACACAGTACCAAGTACTTTAATATCTGGCCTCAACCACTAATTGCAAGTATTCTGGGATCCAGTCATTCAGAACTATCTAGGGTTCCCCAAATACAAAATCCTCATTCTTCAATCTATCCTTTGCTCATCTTGTGCTATCCATTTGTCCTAGACTGACGTTCCTCATCATCACTCCAACGAAAGCTTATTCAACTATTTTAACACAAGTTAAAAGTCAAATCACACTCAAGACCTCCCCTGACTTTAGACAGAGTCAATATCTTTCTACTAATTGACAAAGAGAATGATTAGTGCTTGAGCCCATGACCAGACCCACTTGAGCTGAAATCCCAGGTTCACCCTTTACCAACTATGATTTCGTACAAGGCTTCTAAAGCCTGTTTCCTCATCTCTAAAAATCAGTAACTACTTCGCCAACTGTTCTGAGGATTAACTAAGGAGCTGTATGCAAAATACTCTGCACAGCACCTTACATATTCAATAAATGTTACTGTTATGTGATTATTTCCACTCTGGGCTCCTATAGCAACTTGAACATCTCTCTACCACAGTATTGTGATGACATGGCTGTTTGCCATGCAGGATACTATCTTTTTTCATCTCTTTATTATCATCATCTGGCATAATGCTTGGCACATAGGTTCTTAACAAATTTTGAATGAATAAATAAAATACTTCAATTCTTATACTGTATCACATAAGGCCTCAATTTTGTTTTCTACCTGTCTTACTAACTCTACTTTCCATCTCCTCCTTGTACAAAATTGCTACCTCAAGTAAAATTTACACAGGTCAGCTTCATTTTAATTGAGAGAAATAATTTTATGGGATTTGTGTCTTTTTGTTTCTAAACACACCCAAACTCACAATAATATCAACAACCCTCCAACTCACTTTATAAAGCAGCAAATTTCTAGAATTTTGAAAATTTTTAAGGGGTCGCCAAGGAAGGTTTCCTAAATCTGTTGTCACCTCCCTTTACCAACAATTCTTGGGTCAACCCTAAGGACTCAGGTGTACTCCTGAGCATAATTAATTAATTTAAAAACATGGTATTTTTCCTACTGAAAACATGCTCTGAGAAATTCTGAATAACACTGAAATAATCAAAGAAAATAATTATTGCTGCCTACAGCTTAAAAAAAGTCTGTTTTTAAAAATTACTAGTAATTTAAAACTGAACTAATCAAAATATGTGTATGCACTGTCAGGATGGCAAGTGGGGGTGGGGTAGAGCACTCATTTCACAACCTTGAACCTCAAGAAATAAAATGCAAAAATGCAAAACGTTAAAAATGCCAGGTACCACCATAAAATCGCAATGACATCTTTTTATCTATTTCCACACTTAACCTTGAAACATTACTGCCCTTTGAGTCATTACCGATTGATGGGTTTAATATGCAATCACCTCTGAGCTACTTTAAAACCAACATGACTAATCTAGAAATAAACGTATCCGGGAATGGAGAAAAGACTGTTAAAACACGGTTTCTCGGGTCTCACATCCAACGTGTGACTTACATACGGCTCTGCACGGAGAAGCAGCAACCCGCGAGTGTCAGAGGTGCCGAAGGCCCGAGGCCCCGCAGCTTGGGCGGCTGCTCATCCCTCAGACTGTGCAGGGCGGTGGCCCAGACCGGGTGGGGCTGAGCGCTGCAGCCGGGGCGGGCCCAGCAACCGGGCGGGAAGCCCCAGGCTCACCTCCACTTCCCTTTCCCAACGCACAGGAGCCCAGTTCTGCGACCACCCAACAGCCCCCTCAAGACAAAGAGAGATTTTTTTCTGTCCCGGTCCGCTCAAAGTTTATCGGTCTCTCCCGGCGATCGGGGCCGCCGGGCTTTGTAGTTCGCCAGTCTGAGCTACCCCACCAAGGCCGCGAGCCCGAAGAGCCACTGAACTACAATCCCCATGATGCCCCGCCAGCCTAGCGCTCCCGCGCTCCTCCCAGTCCCCGCACGGGGGCCAGCGCCCAAGGAACCCCACCGCGCACTGCCCAGGCGTCTCCGTTGGTGGGCGGTCGGGAGGGGCTATAGGCTAGAGCCCCCCCACCACCTGCTGTCCCGCTTCCGCCCCTGTCCCTCGGATTCATTACCTAGGAGGCGCAGGTCGGGACACAGTCCGCGATGCGGTCCAGATGGGGTGGGGGTGGGGCACACGCCGCCGCCGCCGCCGCCGAGTCCGTTAGTTCGCGACGTGCGTGAAGAGGCGGCGGCGGCGGCGGCGGCGTAGGGTTGCCAAGGCAGCTGCGGTCACGCGGTGGGGGCAGCGCGGGAGGGAGCGCGGGGCTTGTGAGTCCGCTCTGGGGCGGAGCTTGGGACGCCCTCCCCGGTTTCCGGGGAAGGGGGGTGCAGCAGCACAGGGTGGGCGAGGAGGGAGACCGTGACATTGAGGAGGACGCGGGGCTGACCGAGCTCCGGTGGTGCTTGATGAGCCCGCCTCGACTGCGTCCAGCCCCCGTGGCGGGGCGTCTTCGTGCCTGCTGCTTTCGGAAGGGGCACCCGGGGCGTCGCTGGGCCCTTGGGGTCCGCCGCTGGACCTGCCCCGATGGGAATCGTGGAATCTACGCCACCTCTGTGTTTACCTCCAGTCAGACCGAATTGAAGTCGTTCGCACCCCCTTTCTCCATTCTCTGGAGAGTGGCATAGAAAGGAGTCCTTCAATAAGATGGAATGCGTATGGTTTTTAGGATGATTCAGGATGTTTTAGAACTTGCAAATGGCATTGCTTTCGACTGGATTTGGATTTATGCTGTTTCTTGGGCAATAGTTTGTGGATTCCAAGATAAACAGGTTAAGAGCTTGGGCTTCTAAAACGAATTCTTAGTTCACGTCCTGCCCCTATAACATGGTAGCTGATGACCAGGGGGGCCTTTCTCACCTCTCGACGTTTTGGTCTGCAAAATGGAGATAACCATCTTGCAGCTCTTGTAGGAAATAAACCTAGCATTTAACAATAGCTATTAAATATTATTTAATCAATAGTGATCAAAGGCAGAATCGTGGTTGGCTGGCCGTCAGGGAGGGATTTGAGATTATTTTTTGTAGTAATGAAAAAGTTCTACAGCTAAGCGTTTCCGTTACAGAAGTATATGCATTTGTCAAAACTCTTGGAATGGGACATTTAAGATGTGTACATTTCATTGCATATAGATTTACCTCAAAAGGGAACATAAAAATGTGTTGTTGTTATTATTATTAGAACTATGGACTCTAATAGAAACCACAGAGATGTTCTAGGCCCAATCTCTAGATTTTATAGATGAGAAAACTGAGGCCCAGAGATTTAATAGGAAAAAAGAGGAAGGGGATTGAATTACTGACCTTGTCATTTTGTAGTAATGAATGTCACCTGAAAAATTATGGTCGAAAATAACAAGTCACTATGCCTGTAATCCAGCTGAGTCATCCTACCGCAGAGATTTTCTTGAAATTGTCTGAGTTCCTTATCCACCCTTTGTTGTTCGCCAAGGCCAATGTCCTCTCAATGATTGCACTTCTGGCTCTCAGTTCTTACTTCTTCTGAACACATAAGATTTCTCCACATATCACCTCTTGCAACCCTTTTCTGTCTACTGCTGCTGACACATAATGTCGAAATTAGCCCCTTTTATTTGGCTGTTTCTATAGCCAACTCTGGAAGGTTTGGAGCAGATGAGTGGTTTTAAATTAAGGATGCAAAAAACCTAAAATTAGAAATCCCTGCTCTTAAAAGGCCTCTAGTTCCTCCAGTGGTATTTTTATCTGCTTACTCCCATTTCTTCATCATAACCTGTAACCTCCCACTATTGTACCATCTCTCTGGTCCCATCTCTCCCCTCCTCTCTTCTCTCTTTATAGAATATTTTTATCTCCATCTCCTGATCTGTGCCTTCATAGCTATCTACCATTCCTAAACTGTTTACCAAAGTATTTTCCTACACAAAGTAAGAGGAACTCTGGTGCCAGCTATTAAAATTTTTTTTCACATAGGTATCCTCATATTCTATTTGATTCAGTCCACAGTGTAGCTGCTCAATAAATATTAAGCAGTTTGTGTACGTGACCTGTGGATATGGTTCGGGTTGTGTCCCCACCCCCCTTTCACCTTGTATTATAATAATCCCCACGTGTCAAGGCCAGGGCCTGGTGGAGATAATTGAATCATGAGGATAGTTTCCCCCACACTGTTCTCATGGTAGTGAATGAGTCTCAAGATCTGATGGTTTAATAAATGGGAGTTCCCCTACACAAGCTCTTTTGCCTGCCACTGTGTAAGAAGTCCCTTTGCTCTTCCTCATCTGCCATGATTATGAGGCCCCCCCCAGCCATGTGGAACTCAGTCCATTAAACCTCTTTCCTTTATAAATTACCCTGTCTTGGATATGTCTTTATTAGCAGTGTGAAAATGGACTAACACCCCTATCCAGACTACCTTCACAGTGGGTTCACTTATGAAACCCATTTTCTTACATCGATAATAATGGTTTCCTCTATTTAGTATAAGTGAGGAAACTATGTGATCATACCTGGAATCTGCTAATAGGAAGAAAAGAAACCAAAGTAACCATAGCTTGTACAAAAAACACAACAACATTTAAGAGATGAAAGTCCAGAACAAAGTCTGAGTATTAAGTCATAGGACATCCTTATAGGACCTGTCACCTGCAGCAATTTGATCACAACTCTGCATATGTAATGAGCATGTAAATAAATTCTCCTTTACTGCTGGAGAAGATGATACTGATCTGCTACCAGCTGAGCACGTGTTTGTAGTAGGGATGATAGGTTCACTGGATCCGTCTCTCTCTCACCTGGTTTCCCTTGTGACCTGTTGCTTGTCTTTCTTTGCAAGGCGGCTGGCCAGCATTGTAGTGCAGCCTACAGGCCACGACGAAGTCTCCAAGGGCAAGGCCTCAATGCATAACGCTCCTTGTTTTGTGAAGCCAGGATTCCAGAAAATCAGCTCAGCAGGACAGGCCACTTGAGAATGGATGATGGCAGCACAAACAGCTGCTTTGCAGTGAGTTGGAGGAGGGAAGACCACAAGCCACGGAAGCACAGTGGCTAACGTGACTGTGGACAGGTAGGAAGAATAAGGACTGACGGTAAATCATAGTTACTTTGGACCTCTTCAAGTGATAAACACCCTATGCAAATCCAAAGGATGGAACTGAAAGCAGCACATTAATCCCCACAGGCAGCGTGGTCAAGAGGCACCACCCTCATTTACAGCATATCTGGTTCACAGTTGACGTTTTTCTCAGTTATTGGTGTTCTTGGGATCGCTAGCAATTGACTTTGCTCACCACCCTCCTTGATGGTCCATGACCCTGGATCTCTTCAGAGCTTTCCAACCAGACTTCATTATGTTATTCACCAGCTCTTTTATCTACTCCTTAAATGTGGGGATCGTTGCCAAGGTCCAGTGACTATACCTTCTCCATTTACAAGCTTCCACTTCAGCTAAGGTTGACCCTCTGACTTCTCTTGCTACTTCTGATCCACAAGTTCCAGTACTGCACAAGCAGACCTCCTCTTCCTTCCTTAATTTGTTCTGTTACTTCTGTTCTCTACGCCTGAGTTGCCAGCCCCTGATCCCATCTAAGTTCTATGTATTTTGAAAACGAACCTTCACTTGAAACCTTTCCAGATCATTCGTGCTCAGTCATATCACCCGGCTCAGAATATTTCCTGCCAATCTCACTCCCTCAACAGCTTACCATACTGAGTGGTTGCTCATCTATCATTTACTCAGTGGCTTTTTGTCTTTTCTTACTATATTTCAAGCTCCTCCAATGTGCATTTTTGGATATTCTCAAAAACACCTTCATAGTACCCCATATATAATAAGGGCACAATAAATGTTTTTGACTGGTGGTTCTTTTAACTTTTCCCCTTAGGAAAACCTCCTTTATCTGGTAGCTCTTCCTCTCTAGTGCTATACAGGACATTTGCAGCCTCTTGGTAAAAATTTCCCTGGAGGCTGTAGAACTGTGGGCCCCCATGCATATTCAGTGGAGGAGTACCTTGAAGTAATTCCTGAAGTCACTGTTGCTATGGAAGAAATTCAGCATGTAAGTATCACTGAATTCCAACATTCAGGCCCTCTTGACCTTGAAGATCTAGAACAGAGCTTTCCTCACTGTGAGTCACAGCCTATTAGTAGGTCATGAAGTCAATGTGATGGGTCTCTTCCAGCTTTGTAATATTGAAAATGTGATAAGGTAAGGTAGTGTAGGGTAAAGCATAACGCAACAGAATGGGACAGAAAATGAAATCCAGAGGGGATGTGCATGGTGAGGGTCAAGTATCGTATGGCAGTTACTGAGCTGTCATCTTTCAGCTTGAAACCTACCCTCTGTCCTCTGTGTTGGTGGGGCTGGAATTGTGCAAATATTTCTCCTTTGTCATCTGGGCGGAGCAGCACAGCAGGACCAGAGGAAGAGCACAAGGCTGGAGGAAAGGGAAGCAAGTTGCTCCTTCCTGTTGGCCTGGTCTGCTTGTCAGCATCACTCCTGCCACAGCCTTTTAGCCTGGTGGCAGTTTTACCTGTCTCCAGCTTCTTCTTGTATCTCAGAACCAGCCTCATCTCCTCTCTTCTCCCTCCACCCCAGAGCATGACCCGCAGCAGCGGCCAGGCAGTGTCCCCCTTCAGCAGCCTGTGCCCCCAGCTTCACCAGGACTTTCCTCCAAACCCCAACCTCTCCTGCCTTGGATCTCCAGTCCCACAGGCAGGAGCTGCTTCTCACAGGTATAACCTATGTGTTACTCCAGTGTTCCTTTTTTAATTTTTCAGTCCTCGAATATCTGACTAATCAATTCCCTGTGCTAAATTCTCGCTCTTGAAATAACTACTTACGTTTCTTTTTTTCTGACTGGACCCTAACTGATACGAATTGCGAAGTAAAATGTACTTCCTGCCATAAGCGTCCATCAAAAGGGTTTAAGAAACACTGCTTTAGAGGATTGAGAGTTTTTAAATAGCCAGATGCCATCAGTCCTAACATGTAGAGGTACTCTGGATTTCAGGTCCATGAAAAGCAAAGTCCCTGTTCCATTACAGCTGTTGTCACTGTTGGACCCCAGGCCTGGAATATAGGGATCACTAGAGGTGAGCCTGCACTTGTCTGTGAGAGTTTAGCCAGAACCCCAAACTTCACATGGAATCTGACCTCTCTCAGATATGCAGAAACTCAGCTTCTTTACTTGCTATAGTTTTACTCCTTACTAGCAAGTGAGAGGAAGCAGAAAGTTAATGATGAAGAAAGCCAGGAACTGGTACCAGAGACCTCATACAATGAAATGCAACTTGA